TTTTCGGCAGAATTGCATTGTAATAACCATAATAACGAAAAAAATGTAAAGAAGTGAGAAAAACATTCATTTTCAGTGTGACGACAAAATTCTGTCTTTTCAACGAATTGAAATTCTAAGATGCATAAGACATGCTAGTGTCAATTATGATACTAAATACCGGGTAATTTCCATTATTGGAAAACTTTTAACTCACATGATGAAGAATGGCGTTGAAAATCAAATTAATTATGAATTCATGATACTTGCAAAATTTCACAGCCATAAGGGAAAGCAAGTTCATTAATTACTAATAATATATTCTCAGTTTTTGTACATGAGGGGCACCAGTTTACAGGCATCATCAATATGATAAATTACACATACGATAAGTAAGCATATTTAATAGTTATATAATAAAATACATATTTATTCCTGGCTATGTAGGGCACACCAGTTTTACAGGCATGGATAAATGTCATTTAAATTACACAAATTTGACTTATGGGGAAATCAAACGGTTGCTGTCTTTTCTGTCTTTAGTTTGCGGGAACGATCTGCTAACTAGTCACTAAGTGGAGCACACTAAGAAATATAGAAATATTATCTTCGCACTAACAAAAACCCAAGTATGTGTTGGATGGATTAAGAATACTTGGGGAAAAAATAAAGCTTGTAGTCAATTCCTCCATATAAGTTTGTTTTGTGTGGCATTGTATCTCGTTCTTGATTTGTACTCAAATTGGGTATTAATTTAAAATAAGTGGTGTATTTGCATAACTATCAGCATTTTTATCGTGAGTAACACCAGAAGTGAACTACACTCGATGCAGACTAATAATAATAGTTTATACTTTCTTATAAACGGATGTTTAAGAGAAATGCATGTCATTTTTACAGGCACGATCAGTTTGTTATATTTTTGTTATATTTTCAGTTTGTCGCAACGCCCAGAGTAGCCGAGACCACTTATTAAACCAAGTGTTCTTGAGGCAAATTGCCACCTCACTCCCTCTAGTTTAAGCTTGTCATTTTGTCAGAGACCGCTAAGAATAAACGGTCAGTATTCTGAAATAGGCCGGACACAGACTTTATATGGTAAAACCTTAGTTTCACAACAAGGGAAGCTGCGAGTTATGCATCCTAGGAGCCTTCGTGTTTTACGTCTGGCATAATCAGTTTGTTCAGAGAACGTTAAGTTACTAGAGTATCTAATTCCGAGATCTACGACTGAGTTAAGCTTTGCTACTTTTCGCCCATTTACTTCAATAGTTAGGTCAAGGTTGTTGTTGCCAATGCAAATCCAGCTGCATTTGCCAGTGTTAAATTTTAAACAAGATTCAGCACACGACGCTGTGAGATAACTTAGTTCAAGAGGCATTCTACTTACCATATAGTTTAATCCATAACTACAGCAGGAGTAAACAACTTTGAGGTCGTCAGTACATCGCAATGGTTTACCCGAGGTGAAGCAGTCACAAATGGTGTTAATCTAGAATGTAAATAAAAGTGGTCCCAGTGCGGTGAGAGCTGGCTGCTAGTCAAATTGGTAGATGGTAATTTACGTCAATGTTTACGTCCCCAATATTGGTCGTGAGAAAAATATGAACAAAGACTGATTCAAAAGCCAACCAAAGCAGACTTTGCCTAGGCGGATACAGTTAGCATATAGATGATCTGACATTCAAGAAACAGCCACAAAGAGATGAAAGATTAACTTTCAGCGAGAAACAACCAATCAGAAGACCGCGTGATTCTGCTAACAATAATCTATAATAATGTACATGAAAAGCTATAAATATGTGTTGATTTCCTTAATAAACGATCCGTTGCCTTGCCCTTGTCTTCTCTTGTTACACTAGGACACTACCTTGCACAACCCCACTTGAGATATGCCTAGGATGAGACAAAACAGATCCGACTTTGGTTATTTGTGCCCTGTCGCTTAAAAGAGACTTACACCAGTTCTATAATGGACTGCGAATTCTATATTAGTACAGCTCCCCAATGAGAATACTGTGAGACACCATGTCAAGTGCCCTAGATATATCGAAGTAGAGAACAGAGATCAGCTTACGTACTTCGCGACTACTAGTGAGGTGGTTGAAAATGTTGCATTGACAAGTAACTCAGAATCTATTTTTGAGAAATCCATGTTGAGACTTTGTAACGAGATCTTCCCTAAATCGGTAGTCTGATAACTGATATTTGACAACTTTCTTCATGATTCGCGGATAACTGGGGTTATATTTATGGGTCTGTAATCGCGAACGTTTGTGGTGGAATTATAAAGTTAGTTTTTTGCCCATAAGGGTAAGAACCAGTGTCCAAAGATATTGAGAAGTAACAGGGGAATGTCACACCCACTGTTTTTGAAAATTATTGGAGCAAGGCTATCTGATCCCGTGCTAGTAGAAGGTTTAAGGCTTTTAACTGCTTGTTCTATTAATTGATTGGTGAACACTATGCTCTTGAGGGAGGAGCTAGTAAGGGATGCGGTTTCACCAGGGATGTGCGTTTCTGACCTAAAGTTCTCAGACCACCCACTGGAAAGTTCACAGGCTCGTTGCAGGTTACTTTATCTTGAAGTAAGAAGGGGATGTCACTCGTCAACCGCATTCATTTTTTAAGAAGTGTCGTTAGGATGTATACTTTGGAGGTACTTTTAATTGTCCTTAACTCTTCGTTGAGATCCTTTTGGGAGCTTGGGTGCCTGATAGAGTAATGTGACTCGTGGATTCAGTGCAGTGGTGACATATCCTTGGCGGAATAGTACTGTTTCATCAACTTATTGTGGTATGCCCTTGGAATGTATTCAGCTTGGTGCTAACTTAATTTCACTACATTATTAGGAGCAACAGTATCTAGACAAAGAGTGACGTTTCTGTAAAATAGTAGCACTATAGCCTCCAGAGAGCCAGAGGCAAAATAATCACTGGGAGGTAAAGGTGCAGAGGCAGTAATTTGATTGATAGGTACTCTGTTTTAAGCCTTTTATTCAAATGTTCATTCCTCGACTGAAGTTTCGTCTTTTTTATTTTTCAGATTATGGTCTTCACTGCCACAGTTACTCAATACATTTAGACATTCTAATGAAATCAGAACAGATAGTATGTTCGTGAATTATGAAATATTTGTGAAATTACAAATTTATTTGTTGAAATAAATATTTTAGTATAGTCTGCACTCCATTCATACATTAGCAATAAATATTGTTTCTCGAGTTGAAGATTGGTGCCAACTTAGAAGACGTATTTGCATAAAATGGCGTATTTACACGTGATTGAATTTGGGCATGATGGGGCACTATTATTGCTTTTCAGTAATTGCTTCCCCTGCTACACTGTAAACGGGAGATATGCACAATAAAAGTCTGTCTAATAAGTTGCAGTATTTGATGACAACAAAATAATCAATGGAGCTGAGTGACGTGATTAACTAATACATAAGTCTAAGTGCCGATATGGCCACGTAGGAGCATGCTGATACGAAATGATAATACAAGGAGAGTGATGCAGTTATCTTTTTAATACCTAATGATTTCATTTGAGACAGTCGTGTTAAACGCAACACGATAATTATAGACTAATTATGATCAATGAGATAGACGTTTTTATAGTGTATCTGAAGTGCCTAGACTACCAATACAAGTATTGTACGTACAGAAATCTACGTTTACCAATTTATATTTTGCTATTCCATTAAAAGCACAAGTCCAACGGTCACTTTCCTCTTAACACTAGTGAATACTCATATTACGCGCAACTGGATTAAACGTAACTGAAGCATTTCACACAATGTTTGATGACGCATTGAGGAAATAATAACGGTTTAAGATTGGCGCATTTCGCATAAGTATTACTACGTCACCTACTATTCTCGTTAACTATACAGTGCATTCGAAATGATAAGTAAAGGAGACAAAGGTGGTCGGCATAAATGCATATATTTGCAACAAAACAATAATCAATCAATCTTTTTCACAGGTTAAAAATATTTCAGTATGAAGACGGACATATTTACATTTAAAAAGTTTGTAACAATCCAGTGAAAAATTCGGTTGTAGATTTTTTATATCTGCTTTATAATTGTCATTAAGCCCACTAATCACTCTATCCATGTTATCTGGATCAGTTCGCCTCAGTTGGTAGAGGTGTTGGATCTGTCTCTGAAGTTTTCGTCACCACCAGATCCGTTCGGAGCAACTGGATGTGAAACTTCCATGCAGAGATTGAGACTGTATACCTTCGAATACTTTCGGCAGTATTAAGAAATATCTGAGGATGTACACATATCGGGTGTAGTGATCTTACCTCTGGTGAACAATTCCTTATCTTAGGCACACTAAATATGTGAACAAGGGAGGGAATTATCACAGAGTTGGTGAAATTACATACATTACACGACGGATTTGAAGAATTTTAGAACTTCCGAAACTTCTATCACACTTTCTCTTCTGTGGAATGTAAATATTACTCAAATGACTATATTTTCCAACCGTTACAACCAACTGAAAGAGACTAAATCTTCAAACACTATGCTTCTTTATAAGTTTCCAGACCGTAGATGTTACGAACTTTCTGGAATAACTTGAGCACCAAGTCAGATTGATTCATTATGAATTATTTAAATTAATCCCAGTGTGCTTAGGAAAAAATCAAAACAAAATATTTCCGAATATTTCTCTGTGTAGGCAAATTATTAGAATTTTATTAATCATCAAAATATATAGTCAAAAATTCTGCAGAAATTGAAGGCAGTTTATCTGAAGGTCACTTGTCGATTGGCGTTTGTTCCAATAGATTATATGATTAAGTTATCTATTAGTATTCATTTTGTAAGTGAATTCAATGCATATCACATACGTAAAGTTTATAAAAATATTAATTTGTCTCTGGAAGGTAAAAACTATAATGTCCATCTGATTTTATAATTATCTCGACGACCGCCTCAGTAACGCACACTACGTATTAGCCGCAGCATTTATGCAAGGGAAAATCTACCAATTACAACATGTATAAGTGACCTTCAAATGCTCAGCCTCTCCATTAGCAATTTGTGGCGTTATCCTCTGCATGCGTCAGATATCATTGGCTTCTGCGATATGAAGGCTTTAGGGGTACTAATCGTAATGGGAGTATTTTTCGTTAACTCACTCAACAGTAGTTGTTGTTTTCAAATCATCTTGTTTAATAGTGTCAAGATCAAGTGAATTTATCCCCACTGACGAGTGGAAAGAAATTTTACCTGGCCAGATAATTCCTCCTGGCCTACATGTACGTCAAAACTTGCAAACTGGACTTACCGAGGCGAAACTTATGGATGATAAATCAAATTATTCTTATGTGATAACAAGTAAGAACTGATACTAATGATGTTAACTGACAGACAATAATATTACCGGTATCGCCCTTTTAACGCAGTCCTCACAGAATCGTGCAGGTGACACTAGTGGTCATCACTCTGTGAAAAATAGACAGCGTTTTCGTTCCTATGAGGAAATTAAGAAGGATTTTCATAAAATGAATGTGGGTGTTAGGACAGATGCAGAGATTATTCACGAAATATGTTTGGAATTAAAGGATGGTAATGTCACAAACGAAAGACTGGAAGTACTTTTAGAGGATTTGTCTTACTATCTACACCAGGTATGTTAATAACTTTTAAAACTTATAAGTAGATTGATAATGCTAAGATTTTTGCAAACAATGGAAACTTCCCGCTAATACTAAGACTTCTCCTACATCCCGACCATAGAGTTAAGAAGAAGGCTTTACAGGCCGTTGGAGCAGCTGTCCAAGGGTTTGTTTGAGGAATATGGTTTTTCTTACTATTATTTTGCATATTCTTCATTGTGAACTTTGTTGCAGAAGATTCATTTGCATTCATCTAGGTAAAATATACCAACCTTCTACAGTAACGCAATCGTCAGTGTGCGGGATCTGTAGAACTTATATTACTTACTGTATTAACTATGCCTTGTATTGTTGCATACCATAGTTACCTACCGCAAAACATCATATAACCAGATTTTTACGAAGAAAACTGGAGGGAATATCAAAAGCTTATAGACTACTCCTTTCATTACCTCCAAACCATTCGCTTCTTTGCTTCACACTTAATTGTTTATCCATGTTTAAGAAAGTGTTATATACCATCAAAAATACTAAAATATCAGAGATGTCTCAATGGAATGCTAATGACAAAATATTCAGGTTGGACTATCTATTCTTTGATAAAGAGTAAATTGATCCAATAATTGGCTACATTCATCATTTAGTGGTTGTTCTTAATCCAATTACGAGTGGATGACAAACCCCCGTCTTTAATAAGCAAGGATAGGTGCCCATTGATGCAGACAGAAGTGAATTCAAAGATATGGAAGATTAGACAAGCTGACCAGTAAGATGTCTCACGAATTTCTGTAGGGCCCATAGGGTAGTATTGATGTTTTGACGTCATTCTGAACTTTGAAAGGTGGTTGGAATTATAACCCTAGGTCTGCACTTATGCAGTATAGGGGCTGATAGGGTGAATATAGTTCTTCATTCGAGGTAGGATGATGTCTAACGTCCTTAGAGCAACAGTAGCTTCTAGAATGGGAACCAACCACGGAACACTACACTAGACGTTGTGATCAAATACTGTGGCACAAGTAGATGTTCAGGAAGGAATTATCATAACGTGCACAGTTCTATGAGGCTGACGAGACATAAGAATATAGGGCATAGATTATTTCAGACAAGCCCTTAGTGGACATTATTGCTCAATTCCATGAACTTGCTTAGATCCATGGTTCAGAAAGCCTCCTGTAAAAAAGTCGACCTTATTAGCGGTAATCACCGATCTCCTATATCATAAGTCTGACACTTTTGAGACTCATTCGTTTCGGGCGTATTCCTTATGGAACATTGGCTGACTACATGTATGAAAGAGGTAAAAGAAACAAAGATGAAGAAGCAAATAAAAGTGAGCAATTAGGCAGAAGTAGTCCATACGACGTTTCATGCTTATCTCTACTTCTAATCAAGACGTTACCGAACAAAAGGCTATATATGTAATCAGTTGATGATCCTATAATAAGTATTCATAAATTGACAAGGTTCTAGCCCTCCTCGATAGCTTCATACCAAAAAAATATCAGATTCATTCCGCATTACAAGCGTGAATTTTTTACTGTATGATAGCTATGAAATGGAGACAATTGGTGATATGGCTCAAAAACGTTCTCCTTGTGAATTATAATACCCAATAAATTATATGGTTCTTCGATATTACTATTCTTTTTGTCTCATATCTCTGTTCACTGTTTGTATTTTGCCTTTTTTTACTGTCTTCTCTGGCTTTGTGTGCAGAGTATGTTGAAACCAGTCAGTCATGAAATGTATAAATATGTGTGATCCAAGTCAGAGTTATCACAGTTGATAAGTGTTAGGTCAAGTTAAACTTTAAGCACCACTAACTACCAATGCAGTTCGACTGCACTAATGAACTTGTAACGCTAAGTGGCAAATAATGCTGTCATCAATAAAATATGCTCATCGAAGTGTTATGCCATTAGGTGGGATATCTCGCAAGTTGCAGCTTAGGTTTGGGAACGAATAATTTACCTTTTAAGCCAAAGACAAGTTAGGGTTAGGTTAACTTAATTAAGGCAACATTAGAGTTGGTTCGAGTTAGATCACAGTTGGTTTATGGATATGTTCACGTTATAGTTAAGTGCAGGAAAGATTAGGGTTATTGTTAGGCTTAGAAGACCTAAAGAATTGCATGCATAGAATATGGTTAAATTGTGTTGGTATAAGAATAGAACTTGTGCACTGTACCAGAGTATAATTCCATTGTGGGTCATGCTTAAAGTTTAACTTTGCCAAGTGTTATTTACATACATTTCATACAGTTAAAATCCCAGATTGACCCCAGCTGACCATTTTCTGGACTGATCATAAAACAGTGCTAGAAATAGACCTAGAAGAGAATCCGTGGTAATTTCATCTTCCTCTCTCTTTGTTTGCTATTCCCATGTTTCATTTCTTCCTCTTAGCATATCTCTCCAATCTAATTGTTTCATTACTGAGTTATGCTCAACGCTTTTAACTGTATCATACATTCCAAGCTGGAACGTAATATCGCTTTGCTATTGTTAGGTTTCACTGTGATTTTAACTCGTAGACCACCTTATTAGTTTTAAATGTCTTCAACTTAAGTCAAGACCAGGATTTGTTAAGACATCTACGAATATACATATATATATGCACGACTGTACAGTTACGTTAAATTACCGAGATCATACTATCTAGTGGATAGAAATAAGCAATATTATCTTCTATAAACACCGGTAGGTAGGAAAGAACAAAAGTGTTTTGTTTATTTCTTGAGCGAAAACAAATATCAATTCTTTCTCAAATACTGGGTCTAAGATAAACGGAGACATATTTACGTATTCACTCTTCTCTTTCCTGTGTTATTATTGTCCTTTTACGTGGATGTTCTCTTTTATACCACTTATTTAAGTGTTCGTTGAGGCGTTTTGGCTTCTGCTTCTTCGCGTGTGGTTGAAACACTTGAAAAGCAGTAAATAGGATCGATCTAAATAGTTTTTTCTTTTGGCGGCAGAATTAATCAAAAAGGAATGTGTAGCTAGTCCATAATGCTTCTTTAAACCTTTTTATTGGTCTTATTAGGAACTCTGAGGTTAAAGCGATTGCACTTCGAGAAGGTATACTGGAACAACTTCATTACATTTTAAAGGCAAACTTGGATGAACAGAACTATACAAAATCTTCAGAAATATTGCTTGGCGGAGTACTGACCCTAGGCGCTTTGTTGCGCCATTTTCCTTTGTCCCAGAAACAGTTCTTTTTTACTGTACAGTTCCAACCATCTGGTTATGAGTTGCTCTCCCGAATTGCCAGTCTTGATGCCCCACATGATCAGGCCATTTCTCAAAAATTACGAGTTCGAGTTATTACACTCTTGACAGACCTGTACAATGAGCGGGTGAGTTCATTTCTTGAGGTTCTCATTTAAGATTTCTCTATAAAACTTCCTCGAAAAATGATTATTTACCTCAGAATATATGACCACCTCATATGGACGTAACATGTCAGTTTGAGGCTTTGTAATTCTCCCCATGCATCTGGTTGTTATGATAGCTCGATTTCAAGAAAAGCAGCAAAGTTATCGCTAATGAAAGCCCTTACTTTGATTTTGACGTAAGGCACTCTAGTTTGATGTTTTAGAGTTCGTTGGTAACGTAATTTTGATATTTACCCTTTCAATTGTCTACCACTGTCAGTTCAGTTGTAAAGTGAGTCTCTCAATATACAAATGCTTAAACAGTTGTAAACGTGGGGAGTGAGAAGGGAAATAAGCATTGTAGATGCAAACAAATTCGCCACATAAAATAATAAAACAGTATAAAGAAAATAATGAAGGAACCAGCATATCAGATTATAGCAACAACCCTGTATGCCTTTGCGTCATCAGTAGCTGATTTTATTGTGATATGATATAGCACAACTCACTCGGCCGAAATGGTTACTCAGTCATTTATGGATTGTATCTTTGATTGTAGTCGGTTGATAGGTGGAGTAGCAACAGCCAGTCTTTCTCAGCATACACAGTAGTCAGTCAGTCACGAAATCAAGTAACTGTTTGAGATACGATTCATTTTGTTAGTTGTGCATACGTTGTAATCACCTTCAATGGGCTTGTGATGGACATTGTAATGCGTCACCCCCGCTCGCCCCCCTCAAACAAGAACTGTAACAAGACCTGCATAAAAAGCACAGAAAACAATAAGCATATTCTCTCTCGTTTTCCCAGTTAAACCCATACGTCTGATTTATTGAGATAAACTCCGGTGTATTATTGGCGACATCGCGTACAACCTGTATCCACTGCAAAGTGAATAGGTCTATTTGCACGTAAATACTTGATAAAATTAACTATTTTCTTATTTCGATCTTAGTTTCACCTTCATTTTTATTTTCAGCTGACTGCTCAAAGCGTTTCTAAAGAAAATCCCACAAAAGAAAATGTAGACGCTTGGAATATTTATGCTGGGTGAGTTAAAAAAATATTCTTCATCGAATTACTTCCCTTGATAAATTTGGACAAAAGTGTGTTGTTATCGCTTCGTTCATAAAAATACTCACTGACACCATAAAAAATAACATATTCTGACAGTTGACCGACTGATTTGTCTATGTGAGACTTAATGCAAAAGCTCAGCAGTTCAAATGCACAGATTAAATTCAATTTACAACCAAGGGTTTATATCCTGTAAAAACGCGTCTAATATAAGGAAACTTTTTAAAGAAATTACTGGTGGTAAGCAGATGAACAGTATTCCTTATTCCTTTTATGTTTGCACACTAAACAAGTCTTTCACACATTCTCCCACAAATTCCAAACTTTCTAGTGTTACAAGTGGTAATGAAACCTGCTTCCCTGGTTTCAATACAAACGATGTTCTAAAATGTCTCCAGTCTCTGAACCCTTCTTATAGCCTAGGTCCAGATGATTTGCCTAGTGTTATTCTCAAAATGTGTGCAAATATCCTGTGTTTTCCTCTCATTGACATATTTAATGAGTGTTTTTTCCAGAAATGCCGTGCCAGCCGTTTGAAAGGACATTAAAATTGTACCTATACCTAAGTCATCTACTGGAACATGTTTTGAATTTAGACCTATTGCTTTAACCTCTCCTTTTCTAAAAACTATGGAAAAGTTAATCTTACTTAATCTTGAACCTTCACTTAAAGCCTTTAACGATGCCAAACAATTCGCTAAAAACATAGTAGAAGTACTTTAGATGAAGCTGCAGTCTTGCGTCATAAAATTGTCTCCAGTTTAGACAAGGGGGCTAAATTTGTTCGCTGCACCTTCCTAGATTTCACATATCATTTCGACTTAGTACCTAGAGACATTTTGTGAAGCAAGCTTGCTGAAACTCAAACCGACTGTTGGGTTGTCAAATGACTGCATTCTTATTTCTCAGGAAGAAAGCAGTACGCTGTATGTTAGGGAAGTCGTCCACTTCATTGGTTACTGAAGCTGGTGTCCCTCAAGGCGCTGTCCTTTCTCCTTTTCTGTTTTCTTTCTTCTTGCATTACTTGTCTCACTCTGATGAAATGAACTTTGTTAAGTATGCGGACAATCTAACTATTTCAGTGTCTGTTAACTCCCAGCTAGACTGTACTAAGATGAGCTGCTTTCTATCAGGAGTCAGCAAATGGTCTTTGTCTAGTGGCCTTAAACTGAGTTCTTCCAAATGTCAGACTTAATTTCAGTTTCCGATGTAAAAGAAGGTTAAATGAAGGTGTTAATTCCTATGACCGTAGCAAAATTGATGGTAGTGATATAGAAATCAAGTCTGAAGTTAAGTATCTCGGATTAATTCTTTCTTCTAGCCTATCCAGGTCTTCCCATGTCTTAGCTATTTCTAAAAGAATATTTCGTCTGACTTTTTAGATTAAGAGGTTAAGGCATTCAGGCATAACTCAACCCCTCCTTTTACAGTTTGTCAACTCTTGCATACTACCTAATCTTCAGCTTTATTTTTCCTGGGTTGCTTAAAAAAGACTATGTCATAGTTCATAGGACTCTGAAGACTGTGAATAGGGCGACTGGTATCCCATTGGGCCATATCTTTGACACTATCATTGATAGGCACTTGATTTCATGCAACGAATTTGCTAAAGAGATTTTGTCAGACTTTAAGCATCCACTTTACCCGCAGCTCCAACCTTGTATATCCTACACTTTTAGTAGCTGTTTCACATGTATAAAGTACATACGTATTTTGATGCATAAGTAGACATCGCACTTCCATCAAATATATGTTGGTAGATTCCAAAAGTTAAGCCATTTAGGCAGGTGAAGGCTTCCTGGTTGGGGTCCTCGGGATGATAAAAACCAGTGGCTGGAGACAATCGATGAAATGGCTCAAAATCGTTCTCGAAGATGGCACAGATGCATTCACTTTTATGATTTATCATATCCAGTAAAATTCTGTTGTTCTTCCATATTAGGATTCATTTTCCCTCACATTTCTGTTTATTATCTCTTTACTCTCTTCTCTGGCTTTGTGTGCTACATGGAGTGTGGCAAATTGAACTGCTGCATATTTGTGCAGTCCTATGTTGAAACCAGTCAGACTCCAGATTTGGAGATGTGGCTTATTAGCTTAATGTTATAACGGAGTGTTACTGATTTGTGGTTGTCTTCTAACTCGACTAGAATGCGCCTCCAGACATGACACTATTGAGAAATGATCTCTTGGAAACATTCTTATCAATGAGATAAACACAAAAGTTAAATTCAACTGCTGCAACGTTTCTATCATCCAAAATATAGGCTATGTATCGTCGTCATAGAAATTTAAATCACAAATTAAAATATTTATCTGATTGATTGCTTAACCTTGAAGATCCCCCGAAAATCAGTCAACAAACACCTGTCCAATGAGGTTACACCGTAATACTTATTATCTCCTTACACGTGAAAATGCAACATCACTTCTAAAGGAAATTCACACCTCCAGTCTATGTGATAGTTGATGACTTTGAATCACAATGTAAAGGTTGGTGGGCACTGGATGAAGAGAAGGAAGGCGAAATGTAACACGCCCACACAATATGTATAAAGCAGTGAACTTGTACTGATTAACGTGGTAACGAAATTCCCTTGTGATGTAGTGTTACTAATAAACAGCCTTAAATAAACAATCAGCTGATGTTGAGTGTAAAAATTGCAGTTGTGTAATGTTTGAAGGCTGACAAAAGCTAGCTGTTCAAATCTCTTACGTCAACAGTCGTATGACATTCCGTCAGAGGTTATACGAATTTCAGGGAAATTTCGCACTGATGAATTAATAAAGAAGATAGTGGACATGCTCTTTTTCCCATTACAAATGATATCCAGTATTTTTGAAGATTCCAATCCTCATAGTGCTTAGCACGTTACGAAGTGATAAATGATCAGTTGCAAATAAAAACTAAGATTAGTGTGAAATTGCACAAGTGTAGAATCATCTGTATGATGCGTATGTCATGTTTCTAAAACTTCTATTGTTTAAGCGCTTATAAAATTTCGCTCTTGATAGTATAACTGTATATATCACCACGACAGGTTATTTAATATTGGTCACACTGTTCCTGGAGTATTATTGGTAGTATTTTTCATCTCTACACTGAGAATTTTTTAGTTCATGATATACAGTAACTTAAGACAACTATTTTTTTTCTCGTTTTGTGTGACTGTTGACAGCATTCCATTTGAGGAAGGGTTCGTATCTTCGGGATTTTGCGGGAGATTACGCTTCTCACTACAAAGAGATATCCAAGGAAGCACAATGATGGGAGGGTTAAGCACTTCGGTGAATCATGATTTGCGTGAGAAAGTTGTCACAGCGTGCCTGAAATTTGTCAACCTATGCGACTGGGCTTCACTTGGTTCCACGGAAAAACATCATATTCTCACACAACTTGACTTATTAATCGACGAGTACGAACTTCGTTCGAAAGATGAAGTCAACGAAAACGATTTCTATTTTACTGATATGCTACAAAAATGTCAAAAGTTAAAAAGCACGTTGCAGTATGAGAGCGATTTTCAAAAAACTGATCTTTAAAATTATGACGATTTGTTATTCTACCTCTGTATTTAGAAGAAGAACATTTGTAAATCTTGTAAACATTTACTTTAATAGTTCATTTTTATCAGATGTTATTATCACTAAAAAGAATTTGGTCTATTTAACGTCTCTACGTTTGAGAGTGTCACATAGGAAAAATGCTGAATATCAAATTCGCTAAGTGCACTTTTCATTTCATCCGGTTGGTTATTCACTGAAAATGGCGTACGAATTTTGTAAACAGCCGCGCCGTTCAACAAAACATCTATACGGATTGCATACTGATTGAACACAGCGAAGTAGTTAGGCTTTCAAACATGGGTAGGCATCTAGTAATTACATAAAAGTAGTAGAAGAAATATTCATGTGATATTCACAACCAATAGGTGTTGCCTTGACGTGGTATTCGGGCTTGCATATTTCAACTATCCAACAAGCTACACTGGCTGGAACTAATGTTCCTTCAGGTCCTACCATGCCAGGGATATTGTTAGTATAGTTACCGGCACAGTGTAAGACTTTTTTAAACTATCGCGGGGATCTGTGAGCAAAGTCGTACTACTGCGGAACAGGGATGTAACAGCAGTAAGGTGTTTCCTGCAGATGGCCAGTATGCTAGACATGCTATCTTTCCACTCTGAAGAGAGTGAGTTGGAAAAGGTTGACGCAAGAAGACTGATTCTGGCGAGCTCTGAGGATGAGTAGCGAAAGCTTCTCAAAAGCAAACTGACAAAAAGGCTTTGCGACAACCGTGAACATTGGTGGGCGATAAGAGCGAAAGAGATGGAGAAGACATCGGCACTAGTTAGCACCAGACAACTGTTTAGACTTATCAGGGAAACAGGTGGTAAAAGGCAAACAATAAGTGAAATAATCTCTGAGAAAAATGGCACCATAATTAACTCCCAGAACAGACGACTAGGACGTTAGAAAGAACACTTTGAGCAGCAATTCAGTAGGCCTACAGCCACGCCCAACTTACCGAACATCCAACACCTCCCTAAATGAGATATAGACACAGGTCCTTCGTCCCTAACTAAGGTTACTAAAGCTGTCACTAGTCTGAGACGAGGTAAAGCAGCGGGACCTGATGGAATGACTCCAGAGGTGGATAGTGGGGAAAGCTTATTGTCTGCTTTAACTAAGGTGTTAGAGAGTGTCTGGGAATCAGGAAGTCCCGTTGGGTTGGTGTAAGTCATTGACTATCCCTACATACAAGAAGGGAGACTAGTCTTCCTGTGATAATCACAGGAGCTTTAGTTTGACTAATGCAGTATCTAAAGTTCTAGCCTCAGCAATCATGAGTAGACTAAGCGTTGCTCGAGAGGCACTGATACGAGAGAACCAGGCAGGTTTTACACCAGGAAGAGGCCGTTTTGGTCATAACTTCACTCTTCGACAGATTCTGGAACATAGACATGCTTACCGGCGTCCAACATTTGTCGTGTTTGGTTACAGGATATCATTATGAGATGACATTGGTTAGAGAACCATTGGAAAACCTGGGAGTACTGGACCGCTGTTTCGTCCCAGTTTGGGACTCTTCAGGTTTTCCAATGGTTCTCTAACCCATGTCAGATCATTATGAAATCCTGTAACCAACCAATCAAATCCCTACAAACCAGTATTTGAATTGTCATGTTTCTTGACCTGGAAGCGGCATTCGATTCCGTCGACTGAGAGGTACTATGACGATGTTTATCTGTAGAGGGAATGCCAAGAAAATACATTCCACTGATTAAGGCACTCTACTCGAACTCATGTAGCCAGGTAAGAGCTTACGGTGAGTTGTCATCTGGAGTGGTGTCCGACAGGGATGCCCACTATCCCCATTTCTATTCAATTTCGCCATAGATGTACTAATGTACTTAACCCTAAGTGACTTCAGCGACTCAGGGATTGACTTTTTACCATCAGGGAGTAATCTCGTTGACTTAGAATATACAGGTGACATAGTCCCTCTAGGTGAGGACGCTGACAAAGTGCAGAGTCTTCTGCACACCTTAAGCAGCAATCTTTGAATGTTTGGCATGCGATTCTCTCCCATCAGTTGTAAGATGATGCTAAAATACTGAACTACATCGACTCCCAGCTTAATGACAGAGTGAAGTGGTTGGTGGAGAGTGTTACTTACTTCACTAATATGGGAAGTTGCATCAGTCCCAACAGGTTAATTGGTGACTAAATATTAGAAAGAATACAGAAGACTGGTTTGGCATTTACCAACCTACGTCATCTCTGGTGTAGATGTGGTGTCCGGCTGTCGACCGAAAGATGTGTATACTTTTCAGCAATTCGCTCCGTCCTCCTTTATACCTGTGCGTTGAAGTTTTAGGTATAAAGGAGATGAAACAGTATGGAATAACATGGATGCAAGTGAAAAGTACAGCACAAGACAGAAGCAAGTGGAGGTGTGCAGTTGAAGCCCTATGTTCCACTAGGAACCCAAGGGAACAATAATAATAATAATAATCCTTTATACCTGTGAGACATGGCCACTGGAAGTGGAAGACATGAGAAAGCCAGTTATCTTTGATCACAGGTGCCTGCATTTTATCTCCTGTGTTAGGTTGTATAATAGGGTAATATTGAGTTAAGGCATCGGTCGAGTGCTAGGTATGAAGCGAAAATCAATCGAAGAGGTTGTGAAGCTACACTGATTGAGATGGTTAGAACATGTGTTACGCATGCCTAACCATCGCCTTCCCCGATGGGCGATGTTAGCTTACATAAGATCAGGTTGGGCAAGAGCTAGTGATGGTCAAACCAAAACATAGCATCAGTCAATGAAATCCATAATAGTTAGTTCGAGCCAGCCACATAAGGAGGTGTAGACTTCCTGAGTGTGATGCTTGGGGTGGTAAGAACCAATGGCTAGAGACAATTGGTGATAGTGGCTCAAAATCGTTCTTGATGATGGCACAGATGCATTCACTCTTTGAGATTTTTCATACCCAATAAAACTATTGTTCTTCCATATTACTGATAATTGTCGACTTCTATAAAAAATGACTCACAATGATTGGATCTTTTGATCACATGGCAGCGCCGTTAAACTATTTGGAGAATTCTTCGATGGTTATTTTAATTCTTCAATGAACAAATATGATAAATGAAAATAATACGGTCCGTTTGTCTTCAACTAGAATTTTTACTTGAGTATTTTGAAACTACGTAATGATACAGAAAAAGAATTGCATTAAGCAAAATTGATTTCATAAAAGTCATAAATTTATTACTCTTTACTTAGTTCTTCGCCTTCTTTCACTCATTTGCATCATAATGAAATGTGGATTAGAAAACAAGCTAAATCACGTTATCTAGTGCTACCACCAGCCAGTGTTATTGGCGAGTATTTGTCCCAGCACCCAACTTGGTTGACCCTGCTGGTCACGATTTCCCACTAGAACTCCAGACTAATGCATCCCGTAGTCATTCACTAGTGAGCACCATATTAATGTTCAAGTGTTGGTCCCGAACAAGGACGAAATAGGTGTTCAATATTCCGTGCTTTTCAACAGTCCTGTCAATGCAGTTACTTCGTGGTCAATCTAGAAATTAATCAGATCACTGGCAAACCTGTGATTTGCCAATGTGATGCTTCTCAGTGCACAACAGATGCAGTCCCAAAGATGGTAAGACCAAGTTTGTCACAGTTTTAAATTATCCCACTCATCTACAATGTGGGAGTTTATACTTTCAGCAACTTAGTGTGGTGACTGATGATAGTGCTTCCATATATGATCAAGCTGTTTTACTATCCTAGTAGTTTAGAAAGATTAAAGTCCCACCATAGGAACTACATGACCCACCTAACAGAAGATTACATTGTTATTTGAAGAAAAGGCACCCAGTCAAATTAGTGAAACATGAATACTAATACATTCGCTGCGTAAAAGGGCATTAATTGCAGCATCAGAATTCACTTTATCTGACAGTTGTGAGGATTTTGTTTAGCGGGAGAGTGTTTAAATTCATTCATACTGTAAATATAGTAATAATTATAATGTCTTCGAATGTCACTGCAGATGATATTGAAAGCTTGGTAATTACCTAACCGATTGTACGCTGACCCAGAACTGATAAATTTCAGAACACACAATAGTGTTGGAATCATGTATTGCCAAAATAAGTGAGAAAAAAGGTGACCGACATTACAAAAATACATGACATGTATGCTGATCTAGTAAAAAGGCTGGAATAGTGGGTGTTAACAAAAAGCCGGATTCTGATTGGTTAGTTGACGCCCATAATGTGACAGCATCTGATTTGCTTTCATTTGACTAACAAACAGATTGCGTACAAATCAACTAGTTCAACGTGTTCACCACTTAATCCATTTAAAAGTTGCACTAACTTTATCTGACTGATGGCTGACGGATTGTTAGCATCGATGAAAATCTGACTTCGCACTTACATAGTTCAAAAACTTAATCAAGATCCTTTTAATAATCGTCTTTAGAGAAGTGCAACCAATTTCCAAGCACCAACCTCTTAGAGACCAACGGCAGGCAAAAGAAATCTAGCACACACTAAAGGTGATCAAAATTTAGATAAGAGAAATATGGAGAAAAGACGTTTTGTATGCAGAATCAGCATTGTCATCTGATGTCATGACTGTCTTAGTCTACCTTTGAGCAGCAGAGACACTACCCCTGGAAGCAAAACGGTGCTGGTTATGCTAAAAGCTTGTACTGCCTAGAAATAGGTTGTCACCTACGTAGAGTTGTAGAAGACGGTCGTCGTTATCTGATGTGTGACTACCTACTCCTTATTAGCCACTTAACCGACATTCATCTCAACATAAACGTCGAACTCATACATTCCATTCCCACCTAACACTACGATATTTATCGTCGATACTTGGTTAGTCGTAGGTCTCATCTCACTTGCATCAAGACTGCAATCTGTCGATGCGTTTTCAGACTTAACGATTTGACATCGTTTCTCTCTCCAGTCACTTTTCACTTGAATAAACTTAGCAGCCTGGTAGCATATAGGTGACTGTAAATGGGCAAGTGATCTAGGCAAGTGGTGAAGTCTCAACCCTAACACTTGATGTGAAATCGATGCTACCGGTTGCCAGATAATCGCACATTGTACGTA